AGCAGGCAGTCTCAATCAGGAAAAGAGGCGCCTCGAAGCCAGGTCAGAACTCTTGGCGGGGCCCTGCCTGGGCCTTGGAGATCACCTCTCAATGGTTGGGCTGCCACTTCCCAGCAGCCCTGTTCCCCCGCACCCCTCTCCCACCTGACCCTGGACCTGCACCCTACGTGCCCACATATCTGAGCAGCTCTGTGGGTGCCCGGGGTATTTCACACATTCACCTGCTTTTCTCCCAGAGCAATGGCAACTCCTGTTGTGTGCTCCTCATCCTCCAAGGCCGAGTCTGTTGAAGCCCAGCCCATAACGCCTTCCTGAACGAGTGGAAGCACTTTCCCATGGGTCCCCTCACTCAGGACCACACCCATTTTGTTGCTCACCACCAGTCTGCAGTGCCCAGCACTCGATAAGCACCCAATAAATATTGGATGAATGGATGAGTAAAAGCACACATTGTCTGACCGGGTTACTAACATGGTCCACACTCAGGAATTGTCAAGGATGAGTTCTTAGTCCCCCAGAACACCTAGTGTAGGGCCACAGTGGACAATCAACGAGCATTTTGCTTGGAAAATCGTGAGCTCTCCATCCAAGGGGGTATGCAAGCGAGGGCCAATTGATGGGGAGGCTGCAAAGGACCCTTGGGATCTAGCAGGGCTTGACTCGGTGGACCGATGGATCCTCCCTGTGCTCCTAGAGGCCACGTGGTTGGAGGCCCCCGGGTGGGGCAGTGGTGTGAGGCCCCAGGCCAGCAGACGGGCAGGTAGTCCTCACGCTGCTGTGGAGGTCAGAGAGAGACAATGATTCCAGTGGGAGCGGGGAGAGAAGGGAGCCTGCAATGTGGGCATCGGCTTTGAGGAGGGAGGCAGAGGGAGGTATTTGTAAACAGTGGAGGTCAAGGTGGTTGCTGGCTGGGGCAGGGACTGAGGGCTGTAGGCCTGAGAGGGCAGGGGACAGGCTGCTGACCAGGAGGAGTACGTGGCAAGAGATTAGGAGCGAGGGCTGACAGGTAAGGTCACCTGCCCCAGCTTGTTCCCAAGTGCTCTGAGTGATAGCAGTCACCTGGCAGGGAGGTGGCTGCATCTTAAAGCAGTTGGTCTCTTTCAAGTTCCCTTCCCGGCTTGGTCACCCCTGGCACCTTGGGCTGCCCTCTGTCTGGAATGTGGGCTGCTCTTCACAAGGGGCTAAGCACTCCTCTGACTCACTGGAGCCAAGCTGGAATTCCAGTCCTGAGGCTACTTGCTCGCAGCAGCTCCTGGCCGGGAGCACAGACCCCTCAGGGGTCTCTCTGACCCCAAGAATCGGTGGTTACAGTAGTCAGTTCGGCACAGGAGTCAGTTGAGCCAAACAATGTGACCCAGTGATGGCAACAGACTCACCACCGCCCACCCGGCTGACGGGGGACTGTGGCAGTGAGGTTTCATTAAGGACTCCCTCCACGTGGGGGGTCTGCCCTCCACATCCCTACCCTGCCTTCAGTGCCCACCTCCTCCCCACAGCACGGGGCCAGGTTGCTGGCACCATTTCTCAGAAGCAGAAACTGAGGGTCTGTGTGTTGGTGTTGCTGAGTGAAGGTCCCACAGTGAGGGCAGAACCCCTGATCCCCACCCCTCCCCTGTGCCCCAGGGACAAATGTTTCCCAACCCTCTCTCCCGGGGGTTCTACAAGTTCCACCAGACTTCTGCCCAGCTCCTCCTGCTTTCTAACGTGAAGGAGAAGGAGGCCAGGGCAGGAAACTGTCAGGACTGATTTGCCAAGAGCTTGTGAACTTTTGTGAGTTAGCCCCACCTCCCTCATCCCCCCTCCCGCCCCCTCCGCTTCCCGCAGACTGGCTGGCCCTCGGGAGCCCCTCCAGGGTCCTGATCCCCGGAGGCAGGAGCTCAGGGGCACCCAGTCCCTCTGTGAGGAGGCCTCGGGCCAGCAGGAAGCAGGAGGTATAGCCCTGGATGGCATCATCTCTCCTGTTCAGCAAGCCCAGAGCCAGGAGGACCTGGGCCAAGCTCCAGGACAGGGCAGAAAATCTCTGCTCCCCTGGGCGGCCACCTGCCCCTCCATGTAGGCCCAGAACAGGCAGGCACCTGTCCTGCTCACACAGCCCATCCGGAAGAGGGCCCAGGAGGGGCTGGGGCTGGAATCCAGGCTCCTGCCCCCAGAGTCAGTCCCCTGCGCCCCGGCCTGCTGTGGAGCCTGTGGTTGGTCCCTGACAGGGCATGGCAAGGCCTGGCCCCAGCTCAGGGCGGAGGGTCCCGTCACCAGTCTCAGGGAGGTCAGAGGGGTTGACCACAGTCAGCCAGTCTGGGATGGCTCTGGGAGGGGGGCACTGGGAGGGACAGCACCTTCCGAAGCTTCTTTCTGGAACCACTAGAAAGCGGGGCCTTGGGCGAGTGACTCACCTGTGCGTGCCTCAGTTTCCTCGCCTGGAAAATGGGGTAAGGACTGAATGTGAAAGCACGTTTTAGAACACAGCCTGACTTTCTGTGTTGAATAAATGTTTGCTACTCTTCTTCTAACCACCATCACATTCCCTGCCCCAAGGGGGAGATGAGCCTTACCAGGGCGTGGAGGCCTGAGGCCAGCTCCGGGGACAGTTAAGCTGTCCTGTGCCTGGGGACAGTGGGCTCACTGCCTGAGCCCAGCACTGCCGGCCCTGGCAACCGATCAGACAGATCGGGGGCCAACTTGGCTGGGCAGATGGGGCGGCACTGGACACACGGGGGCCACCAGAGGCAGGTGCAGGCTCAGTTTGGCACATGTGCTTGAACTCTTGGGCTGGGCCAAGCCTAGTGAGGATGGACCATGTCCAGATCTGTGTTTGTGGCCAGAGTGGGGTGGAGATTTGATTTTTCCATTCTCCTTTGTCAGAGTCACCTCCATTTTTCTTTTGTCTCTTTTCAACTCCCTGAGGAGGGCTGCGGTGGGTGATGGCGGCACTCAACCACAGGGCTGGGCGGGTGCAGAAACCCTCTCCAAGAACTGACCCAGGGGTGCCATGTGCTATGCACTTTTCATATGAGAGGACTGAGCCTTCTGGAGGATGGTGTCCTACCCAGAGTTGCACAGCTGAAGCGGTCGGGCCATGCTGCTATGAATGTCCCCAGCTGGTGCGGCTGGCCCTGCCTTGAGAGCTCTCCTGACCTTGCATGGCCCAAAGCCACATCTTCCCAGCTGGTTCCAGGCCTTGACTTACTGTGTCTTTAGCCAAGAGCCCCTTCTTGGGCCCTGGGCCCTGGGACCTTAGCTACAAAGATCCTGTTGGCCCAGTGCTAGTGGAGAGCTTTGAGGCTTAGACTGTCTCTGGATCCCACAATCCCACCCACTCTGAATGTCCCAGACAGGTGTCTGGCAGGGAGGCCTCCGTCCTGTCTTTTGTCACCTTCAAACTGTTGTCCGGACCTGGAACACTATTTAAAGAGCCATCCCTGAGCTGCCCCAGGCCTGCTGCAGCGCGAGGGAGCACGCCAGACCATGGTAGGCTAGGGCTGCCCTGCTTCCTGACCCTGACCTCATCCTGTGACCTTGACTTCATTTGTGATTCTGACCTTTACCTTATTCCCTGAACTCACCCTGACCTTGACCTGACTCCTCTCATTGACGTCCTTGCCCTTGAGCTGATGGCCCTAGTCCTGACCTTTTCTTCACCCTTGATGTCATGCCTGCATCTCGAGCACCCTGGGCTGCCCTTGATGGGTGGCCAGTCCATCCATGTGGGTCCTGATTTGGGTCTGCTTCCCTGGATTGGGTAGGGGCTGCTGAGGTGAAGAGGAGGAAGAGGAAGGTGGAGGGAGACAGGGTGGGCCGGGCTTAGACTTTTCACAGCTCTGCTCCTGCTGAGGGGACATGACTCCTTGGGGGTCGGTTTGGGATTCCAGGACAGCCTGGGTCCTCTGGAGCCTGCTGGGCTTGCTTCCAGGTCCTTCAGCCCCTGCAGGGCCTGCCCTGCTGTCCTTCCGTGCCCCTGTGCGCCACTCTTGGGTCTCCCTGGGGGCTCCCAAGGGCACTGTTCTTTCAAGCACTGTTTTTGTCTCACCCACCCTCATCAGTCCCTCGAGGCCTGAGAACTCTGACTGGCCGTCAAGCCCCAGCTCAGAGGCCACCTGCTCTGGGAGGTTTGCCCCGAGGGTCCCAGTGGCTGAGGGGCTGCTCTGTGTTCTCAGTACCTGGACTGTGGGCTCCTTGGGGACAAGCATGGGGCCCGATTCAGTTCTGGGTCCCTGAGTTGGGGCACAGGGCCTGGCTGGAGATCAGCAGGCACCTAATAAATGTCCTGATGCCTGGAGCTAGGCACACATGGGGAAACTGAGGCTTAGAGCCTTAACTGATTTTCTTAACATCACAGAGGCTGTGAATACCATAGGCAGGATTAGAACTCAGATCTGGGCTACGCCCTTCTGCCCTGAGGTGGTCTTTTCAGGGGATCTTAGGGGCACATTATAAAAGGGAATTCCAAAGTCAGCTGGGTTGCAAAGGGTCCAGGCTGGGAGATCAGAAGGCCCAGAGCCTCAGTTTCCCCCTATGCGGTCCTCCTTTTGGCGGTTCCAGAACAGGGCTTGGCACACAGCAGGGCAATGTTTCACAAGATGGCCATGGAAAGCTGGGTGAGGCAGGGATGGGTGCGCCCAGACCAAGAGCAGGTCTGAGGAGAGAAAGGGCAGAGTATCCCACAGACGGAAGTGATCCTTTTTATTAATCAGAGGGAAATGCATATGTAATTATGTGAGATGAACTCTGCAGGGAGGTTCTTTTCTTTATGATGTCTGAAGGGATTTATAAATATTACAGAGGTTTTACGGCATCATAACGTCCTGGCTGCCCTGCCAGCCCCCCTTTCAAAGGATTAGTGGAGACAAAGCACCCAGTAAAAGCTAATTATAAGTCAGCCGAGCTGCTGCTCCTGAGTTGAGCCCAGGCGCCGGAGGGAAGTGGGGGCGAGTGCAGGGGTGGGGAAGTTGGGTGGTGGGACAGGAGCGAGCTGGAGGAGGGGAGACCACACAGGCACTGGGGGTGGGGGTGGGGGTGGGGGCACGGGAAGCCCATGCTCTGGGATGGGTAGCCGAGCTTGGCAGGAGGGTGGTGCAGGCTGAGTTGGAGGCAAGAGTGGGGGTGGTGAGGTGGGAGCGGGAAGCCTGTGTCTGTTCCACCTCTGAGCCAGTTCGGGGACTCCTTGAACATGGGGACCCTAGTGATGGCTGCGGAGGGCAAGGTCGCCTCCTCAGGGGTTCTTGAGGACTGAGAGCGTTCAGTGAGTGCTCAATCGTGGACTCGGGGCACCATGGCATCCTGAAAGGAGCCCTGGAATTATTCCATGTGGGTGGTCGCCTGCTCTACCTGCTAGGGAGTTCACCCCTGAGCTTTGGAGAGCTATTGCCACACCGATCCCCACTCTGAGCCTGGGTGGGGCAGGGGACCTCAGAGATGAACAGACACAGTGCTATGGCAGGACAGCGTGGTCTGTGATACGGGATGTGGCTGCCTTAGACTGGTAGGAAGAATCGGGGGGAGCTCTAAATTGGCTTGGGGATCGGGGAAGGCTTCTCAGAGGAAGTGGCAGAGGAGTTGAGCCTAGAGGATGAGGATGCTGCCAGATGGAAGGCAGGGAAGGTACTCCAGGTAGTGGGAATGGCAGGAGGAAATGTTGGGAGAGAAGAAAGCTCTAAGCGGGTTTGGGACAGAGTCGAGGACCCAGGTAAATGGAGGTGGAAGCTCTGGGAGAGGGACAAAGGACAGATCTCACAGGGCTGAGGAGTCGAAATGTTATCCTGAGAACACTGGGGAGGTGGCAGGAGAGGAGGTGGGCCCCGTCTGGGGTCTGATGCTAGAAAAGATGCCCTTCTCTGCTTCACAGGCTGGGCGCAGACCACCAGCCTTCCGGAGCCCGGGGGCCCAGGTCAGAAAGCAGCTGTCTGGCCCGGGGGGTGGGTGCTCCTGTGGGCTTCTTGCCGTGGCTGGGAAACCACCCGCTTGTCTGCAAGGCTCCGTTAGGAGCTGCCTGTCTGCTTTGGCTGGGCTGTGGGAGAAGGGGCGCGAGGGCTGGGAGGTGGTGAGTGGCTGACCTCCTGAGGAAGGGGCTTCTGCAAGGCCTCTCCCGCTCCCTCGCAGGCACCGAGGAGAGCCCGGAAAAGAACAGAAGGCGGCGCCAGCTCCAATGTCTTCTCCATGTTTGATCAGTCCCAGATCCAGGAGTTTAAAGAGGTTGGTCAGTGTCCCTGGGGCCGCTCGGAGGATGTGTAATCCATAGAAAGCTCTTGGGGAGCCAGTAAGGTGTGGGATCGGCCCTCGTCCCTGAGGGGTGATGATGTCACTATTCTTAGTGTCCACCATGGTGGGCCTCACAGCCTGCAGATGTGACTGCTGTCCTCGGGCAGCATGACCCTCTCTATCTGAGCCTTTGCTTGCTGTTCGACCTCGGGCAAGTCCTTCCTCTCTCTGAGCCTCAGATTTCCTCTCTGTAAAGGGGGGTTGCTGTGAACATGCAATGAGGGATGGGCATGAAGGCCCAGCAGCATGCTGGCGCACAGTAGGAGCTCAGCGTGGGTTAGCCATCGCTGTCACTCTGGTGTCATGCTGAGCTGGGTAACGGGGTGGCCAGAGGGGCCTGCACTGAGGTTGCTGGGGCAGCAGTTTGCAGGACAGCCCCTTGCGGGAGGTGTTTCTTTTCTGGGGAGGGAAGCTGGGCTTGGGTGAGTGGGAGGGTGACTTTTCAGTGCCCATGTTTCTGCCAGGCCTTCACCATCATGGACCAGAACCGGGATGGCTTCATTGACAAGGAGGACCTGAGGGACACCTTTGCTGCCCTGGGTGGGTGACCAGCAGTGTGGGGGCTGGGGGCTGGGGGCAGAACAGGCCTTCCAGAAAGAGTGAGCGGCTGGGGGCAGGCGGTGTGAGGGGCTCATGTGTCATTGGGGGTGCAGGGAAGGTCAGGAAGGATTCCTGGCTGTTAGAGGAGGACTTGCCAGGGAAGGGGGAGGGCATTTCATGTGCAGGAACCACCTGTGCAAAGGTCAGGGGTGGGAGGCGGGGGTGAGGTGAGGGATCAAGAGACGCCTCAGGTCGGGGAGAGGCCAGAGATGTGTGCAGGTCTCCGGGACTCTGGGCTTTGGCTCCCAGGGAGGCTTTTGCACCCTCAGGCCCAGGGAGCACCTGAAGAGGGCCTCAGGGACTGAGTGGGTGGGGGCTGAGGTTGGGGAAGGGGCAGAACCAAGTCAGGTCTGGACTGAGCTTTGAACTCCTGGAGATCTGGTTGTCCCCTAGAACCAAGAGGAATCCCAGAGTCCCAACTTCCTGCCACCCAGTTGCCATCTCCAGGGACAAATGAGTCTGAGGCCCAGGTCTTCCAGCCCCTATGCACCTCAGCTTCAGATTCTTTGAGCCTCAGTTTCCTCATCTGTCAAATGGGGATGGCAAACAAATAACTTGCTCTATTTCCCAAGGAGGCCGAGGTGGTGGCTGAGTGCAGTGAGGCTGGGGGCTGACCAGTGCTGACTGTGGCTGAATGTGGTCCCCTCCCAAAGTCCCCCAGCAGGTGGGCAGGGCCTTAGGGAGTCGGGGCCTTAGGGAGTCGGGGCGGGTGGATGGGAGAGCTGAGAGCCTGCAGGACTCTATTCTCCTGGGCTGCCCGCCACAGGGTCCGCTCTCACCCTCACTGTGCTCCTAGGCGTCTCCCTCTCCTCCCCAGGCCGCATCAACGTGAAGAATGAGGAGCTGGAGGCCATGGTGAAGGAGGCCCCTGGGCCCATCAACTTCACGGTCTTCCTGACCATGTTTGGGGAGAAGCTGAAGGGTGAGTGAGGCTCCAGGTGGCCCTGGGCAGGGAGGGGTGAGTGGGTGTGGGCAGGCTGGGCCCCGTGTGCAGATGTGCACCCTACTGACGGACACCACAGCTGGGAACATGGTGTCACCCCCAGGAACACATACCTTCCCAGCCTGGCCTCGGTTTCCGCCTCTACACCACAGAGTGGTGGTAACTGTAATAACCCTACCTTGCAGAGCCATGAGGGGCCCAGAGGGACAAATTGTGTAAAAGCTCGTTGCTCCCCATCAGGATGCCTCCGCCACCTCCCTACCCCTGGGCTCATCTTGCTCGCTCTGCCTCACTGCCTGCTGGACAGTGGAGGTGGGGTTGGAAGCTATAGCAGCTGACCACAGTTCCTTCCCCAGGGAAAGGATGGAGGGGGCTCCTTCATAAGTGAGAAGACTTGGGCCCAGAGAGGGCGTTACAACTGCCCCAGGTGTCCCAGCATCAAAGAGGTCGGGCTGGAACCTGACCCCGCTCCTGGCTCTAACCATTGCCACGTCAGGCATGGGGCTCATGGTGGGGTGGGAGTCCAGCCTCTCTGCCCTCTGCCCCTTAGTGCCAACCCCTGGGCTTGAGGGTCCATGGTCAGAGGGAAGGGCCAGCCTGAGCTGCGGCTGCCCTGGGAGGTGGACCTTGTAGCCATCCCACCCTGAGGGTGCCCCTGCCTGATGCCTCCCTGTCTCGGCTAGATCTGGGTTCAACACCTAGCCCCCCAGAGGCCCCCAGGATGACCAAGGCTTGTCTACTCTTGCACCTGAGTTTTCTGTCTGTAACATGAGCGTTGTGTTGATTTCCCGGGGCTGCTGTAACAAATGACCGCAGACTTGACGGCTCAAAACGCAGCAATGTGCTCGCTCGGCTCTGACGCCTGGGCTATGAAATCTGGCGGGTTCTGCTCCCTCAGAGGCCCCAGGGGATAACTTGTTTGCTGCCTTTCCCAGTTTCTGTGGCTGCATCGCTCCCATCTCTGCCTCCGTGGCCCACTGCCTCCTTTTCTGTAAGCCTCCCTTGCCTCACTCTTAAGAGGACACTTGTCATATCATCTAGGGCCCACCTGGGTAATCCAGGATCATCTTCCCACCTCAAGATCCGTTCTTGACATCTGCAAAGGCCCCTTTTCCAACTAAGGTGACATTTCCCAGTCCCGGGATAAGGACATGGGCATATCTTTTGGGGGGCCATGATTCAACCCACTACAGGGATGATCCTACCTAACTGCACAGCTTTTATTTGGTAAAAAAAAAAAAAAAAAATCATAATGCTTTCATGGGTTGTGACGTACTGGCAAGTATGATAGCCCCACACACAATGTCCTGGCTGGTTCTGGACTAAAGGAGGCCAGCAATTGACCTATGACCGGCAGCCTCACCCTCCTGTGTCAGAGACAAGAGACCGAGGGCAGGAGAGAGAGGAGGCCGGGGGCCTGGATCTGTCCAGCTCACGCAGGAGTGCCATCGGGCCCCCTCCAGGCAGCCAGCAGGGTTATTCCTGGGCCCATGACCACATTCAGGAAGAGCTCAGAAGCCCAGGGGCCTGGGCGGGGGTGACACTCCCAGAGAAAGGCATGTGGGACTCTTGCCAGTGACCCAGTGACTTTGAAGGGAGGTGTGTTGGTCTATGACTGAGCTAAGAGCTCTGCCCCAGGCCAGGCAGGGTCCCCGGCTTGCAGCTTCTTCTCATTTTCGCAGGGACGCCAGGACTGGGGCTTCAGCTGAACATGTCATGCGAACGGGCTGAGCTGCATGCTCAGCCGGCAGTGGAGACAGGAGCCAGGCTGAGGCAGGCACTGTCTCGGCCCTTTAATTAGGACAAGGACACGTTGTCATGAGACTCCCAACAGCGAGGGGAAGGTGTAGCCACTCTGCACCCTTTGATGAGGTTCAAAGTCTGCAGAAGAGAGTGGCTGCGTGGCCAGCCCTGTGCCAGGCTTGTCACCCTGGGCCAGCCTCAGAGATGCCCAATGACCCAGACACATCCTGTCCTGGGCTCCCAGTCTGATGAGGGAGACACAGCTGACCTGACCCAGCCTGATGGGCAGCAGCACAGAGGGGTGGAACGAGCAGGGGGCTCTGGCGATCCAAAGAGTTGGCTTCAAATCCTGCCTCCCCTTATGAGTGGGGATCTCAGGAAAGTAACAGAGACTCTCCGAGCCTCAGCTTCCTTTTGACAAACTGAGGACATCAGTACCTACCATGTGGGGTGTTCTGGGGACCCAGGGGAGCAAACAGTGAAGCTACAGGGCGGAGCTTGGCGCAGAGCGCTCAGATGTGTTTGCGGACTTGAGGGAATAATGTTAGTCCAGATCTTTACCGTGCGTTGTCATAACTGACCCTGGGAGGTGGGCAGCAAACACCACCTTTTTCTCCATTTCACCAATGACACAGCCAAGCCTGAAAGAAGGAAGGGGACATCCTTGGGGAAGGTGAGTGGGAGGGCAGTGTGACAGAGGGGAAGGAGCACGACATATGGGTCACCAGGTCCCCTGCTGCCGTTCACACAGCCTGTGAGGCCTTGGGTGAGACCCTCCCTTCCTGGGCCTCAGTTTCCCCATCTGTACAACCAGGGGGCTGGATATTCAATCTCCTTGTGGGAATAGAGCTAGTTCTTCAAATGACTTCTTTTCCTAAAGCCCATGCTATGCAGGTGATAAAACCAGGAATGCTCCTCCCCACGGCCCCGCCCACAGCCTGTTGGCCCACCTGCCCCCTCTCCGTCCAGGACAGGCTTACAGACCCCTCCAGTGCCACTGCCTGAGTCCCCCAAGTGCAGTGCTTTTTCTTCTCTACCCATAGCCCGTCGTGCGCATCTCGGATAATGAGAAAGCGCCAGAGCTGCCCTCCCACCTCACTAAGCACATGGCAGCCTCAGCTGTGAGACCTTGGCCACGTCATTTACCCGCGCTGCGCCTCATTTTCTTGTCTGTAAAATCGGGCCGCTCAGCACGTTCAGCACGTAGCGAGTGCTTAGTCAGGGTCAGGCACAGCTGTGCAGGTTGTGACCACTCAGAGCCCTTGGCTATGACCACTCTTCCTGGTTCCCCTGAAACCTCCCTTTCCTCGCCTCCACAGTGGAGTGGAAGCTGGGAGGAAGCTCCCCAAGCCCTTGCCCTCGGTAGGGGCCCTGGGGCCTGCCCACCCCAGCCCCCCTCTGAACGCTGCCTGTTCTCTCCATGTGGGCGCCCCCCTTGCCTCTGTGTGCTGCTTCTAGGCACGGACCCAGAGGAGACCATTCTCCATGCCTTCAAGGTGTTCGACACTGAAGGGAAAGGCTTCATCAAGGCGGATTTGTAAGTCCCCTCAGCCCTCCGTGTTGGTCTTTCCCTCTCTGAAACTTCTGCTGTAAAGGAGCTAGTGTGGAGTCCGGGTGGGTGGCAGCCCCGTCTCCTCTCTGCCCAGAACTCAGCCCAGCTCAGCCATCGATGTCCCTCCCCTCTCTGGCCTCAGGGTCCCCATTTCTGTGTGGAAGTGTGTAGGGAGTCTGAAGTCATCAGGGAGGGCTTCCCAGTGGCGGGGGCGAGGGGGGGGGGAGAGGCAGGTCTTGAAGGATGACTAAAGGTGCTTGAGCTGAAGCAGGGAGTATTCTAGACGCAGGAACACAGTGAGGGAAGTGCCAGGGCTTGGTGTGTGCAAGGTTACTGAGGAGTGGGCTGCGGCTGAAGGGTGTGGGTGGGTGTGGGGTGGGGGAGACTGAGCACAGAGAGGCAGGCAGGGCCTGTATGGGGTAGCTCGCTCACCAGGCCCTGGACCCTGGGCTGCCCTGGGAGCTTGAGAAAGAGTTAGGCAGGAGCAACATGGAGGCCAGCCCGGAGGAGGAGAGGAGAAGGTTACAGCCACCATGAAGGCCTTGGCTGTTGAGATGGAGGGGAGTGGATGGGTAAGTAAAACACCAGAGGCCAAAGCCAATGGGATTCAGGGCCTGAGTGGATCAGGATAGAGGCGGGCCCATGGGAAGGGACCGGCTCAGCTGGGAACACAGAGAGTAAGGTGGCTATGGGCTGGCATTACAGACGTGTGGGCACTGACATCTGCTATGCCTGGGAGCCTCAGCCCAGTGAAAGCTCAGGGCCAAGGGTGGCAGGCAGGGCAGTGGCCACCTGTCCAGGGGCTGGGACACTGAACTGACCTCTGAGCTGTCCCTGGGCCATCCCTTCAGAGCCTCCAAGGCCTTGCTGGGTCTCTGGGTGGTCCTGGGCAGGCCAGGTTCCCCCCAGGCACAGGCTTTTGGACCAATTACTATGACGCTTCAGGCATTGGCTGTGAGACTAGTTTTGCTGCCTATTAGAATCATCTCTTAGTGGAGAAGGGGTGGGAGAGGGCAGGGGGCAGAGGGGAAGTGGGGACAGTCTCCTTTGTCTCTCACACATTCTCACCATCCCACACTCCCAACGTTGTGAGTCACTCACTCCCTGGGGGTAGGGGGGTGATTAGGGTCTCTCCACCCCTCCCTGAGGGTCCATCTGGAGGAGCTGGGGGAGTCACTGGGGCATGTCTGCCATTCACCTTCACCTCCACCAGGGCAAGGCCAGGGCTGGGAGGAACCCTCTGGGGGCCCAATTTGGGAACCAAAGGCACCGCCCAGGGATAGGGGGCCTGGAAGATGTGGCTGCCCACCCGTCAGGCCACAAGGAGGCTCTGGTTGAAACTGAGTCTGTGTAAGTCCCCAGCCGGGGGAATCGGAAACTGGGACTGTCCTCAGTAACATGAATAACGGAAAGTATGCGTGGTCCTGAGCGGGGCCGGCCATTGCTGGCGACACAGGCCTCTGGTGCTCAGGGCCCCCTCAGCTCCCCAGGCCATCCCTGCCCCCTGCTCCCCTCTCCCCCCAGCGCCTAGGGCATCAGACCCTCCTGCGCAGCCTCAGACTCACCTTGCATGTCTCATCTCCGGCTACTCCTCTGGGCCCAGGCCGCTCTGGCTCCTGTGGGCAGCAGCTCTGGACCACCCAGGGGGCCGGGCCCCACCCTGCCACCACACATCCTGACACTTCCCAAACCTCAGTTTCTTTCTCTGTACATGGAGTTAATGACACTCACTTCCCAAGGCCATGAGGAGCAGATGAACCCTGGGCGGGCCCATGAGGACATGCACCTGGATAGGTCTCCCTGGCCCTGGCTGAGTGTGAGCACCTGTCCACGGTAGCACGCTGCACACACGGCAGCAGCCATCGCAAACTGGGGCAGCAGGACATCTAGAACCAAGGCAAAGAGGCCACCCTCAGTAACCTTGAAGTTGATTATTAGTGCACAGTGGACCACCTGAGTGGCCCCAAGGTCATGTCAGAGTCCCAAGGTCATTTCATTTGGTTCCCACTTGATGCTGGGAGGAGAGTCCGTGTTACAAAGGAAGAAAATGAGGCTCAGCTGAAGTGGCGTCTGAGCCCACGTGGCTATCTGGGGGCTGTAGCGCCAGCCCTATCCCCTTCCCTACCTTCACTGGTGTACCCCTGGACCAGGACTCCTCCCCCAAGCCCACCTGCCCTCATCAACCCTGTGACCTGTGTGTCTACTCACAGGGTGGCCCTGCCCCTGAACATGGCCCTTTCTCTTCCTTGAGCAGCATCAAAGAGAAGCTCATGACCCAGGCAGACCGGTTCAGTGAGGAGGAGGTAAGCTCAGGCGTTTTTAGGGTGCTGCTGAGCACTGCTAAGAGGCTTCCTGGAAAGCACGGCCCAGCCCTTCTCAGCAGTCACCCCCACCCCACCCCACTCACATCACTCTTAGTGATGTCTCCCTTGACTCCTTTGATGAGAACAAGAAGGATGGGGGTGAGGGGAGGCTGTGGGACCCTGGCCTCCGTGCCCTCCACTGCCATGCCTCCATCTGCACTCTGACACTCTTGGGTGACCCCTTGCTCTGGCCCTTATTTGGCCCTGGTCTAGGCCGACTCCCTGCTCCTTCCCCAGATCAAGCAGATGTTTGCAGCTTTCCCGCCAGATGTGTGTGGCAACCTGGACTACAGGAACCTATGCTATGTCATCACGCATGGCGAAGAGAAAGACTAGAAGGCGACCGCGGACCTTCCCCATAGTCAGAGGCTGTAGTGAGAAGGAGCAAACACTGGGGGTCGGGGCAACCGATGGGAGCTCCTATGACCAGCATGTGGGAGGAAAGGCTCTCCTTGCTTTGTGGGTGGGGTGCAAAGCAGGAATAAATAATGCTAACAAGGTCTGCATTTTTGTGATTAATGCTCCTGCTGGGGAGAAAGCTAAACATTCCTATGTTGTTGGTTTTTCCAAAACTTTTTACTTCCCTGGCTTTGCTCAAATGTTCCCGATGAGCTAGTGTTTAGAACTAATTGACAGTTTTAATGATCCCCAGCTGGGCCACAGGACACTGCCTTCATTTATGAAGCTTTTATTGAGCATCTAGTGCGTGCCAGCCCCAGGGACACAGTGATGAGACAGCCTGTCCCTGGGCAGGAAGATCAGGCAGTGAGGACAACAATTGGGGTGGGGACAAGGGAAGCAAGTCCAGGGAAGACCTGGAAGCTAGGAACTGAGCAGAGGCAAAGTAGGTGGAAAGGAGGGGTTGATTCAAGGAATGTTTAAGGAGTAGGCCAAGGGTGCTGAAACAGGACGCACATAGCACCGACCATAAAATAAAAGTGCGTAAATTGGACTTCATAAAAATTTAAAACTTCTGTTCAGCAAAAGACAACACGAAGAACATGAAAAGGCAAGGCACTGGGCTGGAGAAGATATTGGCAACAATAGATTTTGACAAAGATCTGACAGCCAGAATTACTTAAAAAATCTTACACGTTAATCCTGGAAAGATAACAACCAAAACAAACAATCAAACAAAAAACAGGTAGATGACTGTTAGGAGCAAGTTCCTCAGTCAGGGACTTGACCCGTCTGGGGCAGGAAATGGGCAGAACACAGGAGGATCGGTAGGTAGGTGGGACAAACAAAGCAGCCAACAACTGGCTGGTCAGTGGCAGCTTATATACAGGCTCAGACAAAAGAGGCCTCGTGCCAATTAGTGACGCCTGTGCCACCTTAACATAAGCAGGTTATATAAGGGTGCGCTTGCGCGGTATGTATAGTGCTGCTGCTGAGTCATCGCTCTCGTGCGTGCATAGGGCAAAGGGGCCTTTAACATAGTAATACTGCAGTGTCAGTGCCTTCACGCATGCGTATGGCGAATGGGCCGTTAACCCCCGGCACACTCTGGTCAAGGCCCTCACAGTGACAGAAAAGGATATCCAAATGGCCTGGAAATATGTTTAACCTCATTTCTCGTTAGAAAAATGCAAATAAACACTTTCGTTAGGTGCACACCCACCATGGCTAAAAGTAAAACGACGGCCAGTACCAAGTGCTGATGAGGATGTGGAACAAACAGAACTCTCCAATTTTGGTAGCAGGGGTGTAAAATGGGCCAGCCATGTTGGAACACGCTTTGGCGGTATCTACTAAAGTTAAAGTGCATGCATATCCTGAGCCAGCAGTTCCAAACCGAGGTATATACCACAGAAATGTCCATCATACATCCTTCAAAAGACATGTATAAGAGTTTACAGATTTATAAGAGTCCCAAACTGGAAACAAATGTCCACCAAGAGGAAAATTGATAAATAAATGATAATATGTTCGTGCATTGATATTATACAGCAATAAGTGTAAACTACTGATCCACACCACAACATGCTCTCGTATTACATCACATAGAAAAAGACACACAGAGAACTCAGTTTATTTGTTTAAAAGTTTTATAAGAGCATACTTTAATAAAACTTTTAAAAATAAAATGTTTTAATAAGCATACCATAAAATCACCATTTAATAGTATACTAGTGGCCCGGTGCATGGTTCGTGCACATTGAAAGGAAATTAATTAGAAGGTGGCTGGCAGGGCGGGGCGGGACTGGGCAAGAAGAACCGGACACACCTTGGAGCCAACCTCCCGCTGTCCCTCCCGGCCGGCTGCACCTGGGGTGGTGGCGCAGCTCAAAGGGCATGTGTGGAGTGAGTGGGGTCCCTCTGGCAGGTGGGGTCCCTTGGCCTGGCCTGTGGGGATCGGGCCAAAACCAGCTCCGAGGGGTCCCGGAGTGCAAGAGGACACTCTGCAAAGTTGCTGTCATACAGGGTGTGGAACGCAAATGCAAGTGTGCAGTAAACCAGATTCAGGACCTACAGTGCCCCAACAACAACATAACCCACAGACCAAAGGTGGAATCATGGGGCGCCACAAGGAATCAGGCTCCCTCCTCTCTGATTCCGGGGTGCGTCACCCCGAGAACCGCTGCTGCCAAGTCACCTCAGCTTGGCAGCTCCTG